CACAGATCCGTGATGATCACTAGTCTTTTTACTGTGTCCTTGGTTGTGCCTTTTCCAGAATGCCATATATTTGGAATCACAAAGTATGTATGTAGCCTTTTCAGACTAGGTTTAGCACTTAGCTATGTGCATTTAAGATTCCTCCAACTCTTTTCGTTGCTTGATACTTCTTTTCTTTCATTTCTTTTTAGTGCTGAATACTAGTCCATTGTCTGGAAGTACCATAGTTTATTTATCCACTTACCTATTGAAGGACATCTTGGTTTCTTCTAAGTTTTGCCAATTATGAGTAATCTATTCATGCTAATCTTGCAATAGTGAAAAGCAGTACTTTTTTTTTTTTAAGATTTTATTTTTAAGTAATCTCTATACCCAATGTGGGGCTTGAACCCACAACCCCAAGATCAAGAGTTGTATGCTCTACCAACTGAGCTAGCCAGTCACCCCTAAAGCAATACTTTTTATTTTTAAATTTTTAAAAAATTTTTTAAGACTTTCGGGCGCCTGGGTGGCTCAGATGGTTAAGCGTCTGCCTTCGGCTCGGGTCATGATCCCGGGGTCCTGGGATCGAGACCCGCATCAGGCTCCCTGCTCCTTGGGAGCCTGCTTCTCTCTCTCCCTCTCTCTCCCTCTGTCTCTCATGAATAAGTAAATAAAATCTTTAAAAAAAAAAAATTTTAAGACTTTATTTATTTGACAGAGAGAGAGACAGCAAGAGAGGGAACACAAGCAGGGGGAGTGGGAGAGGGAGAAGCAGGCTTCTTGCCGAGCAGGGAGCCCAATGTGGGGCTCTATCCCAGGACCCTGGGATCATGACCTGAGCCAAAGGCAGATGCTTAATGACTGAGCCACCCAGGCGCCCCAAAGCAATACTTTTTAAAACCTGGGTTGGCTTTCCTGGTCTCCAGGAGTTGTAAATATATCCAGTGATTTTCAACACAAAAAATTTTATTATGTTAATTTAAGATGAATCACACATATATGTTGTACAGACTTTTTAAATATATTGCGACAGGTAAAGGTGTTACAAATATAAAACAAAAATACCAGTAATGGGTTTCAATTCTTTAACTGTTAGGACAATTATTATATCATGAGTTACTAACAATAATCCTTCAGAAAGAGCTATGAAATCTAAACTGAGTCATTCAATTTTTTGTTAATTTAAGAGTCTGATAATTAGTAATGTGGAACACCTTTTCACATACCTGTTGCTATGTGTGTCTTCTTTGGAGAAATGTCTACTTAAGTCCTTTGCCCATTTTTTAATTTGGGTTATTTGTTTATTTGCTACTCAATTGTAGGAGTTTCTTGCATATTTTGATATTAACTTTTTACCAGATATATGGTTTGCAAGCATTTTTCTCCTATTCCATAGGTTGTCTTTTCACTTTGCTGATTATTTTGCTCTACAAAAGCTTTCTAGTTGAATACAGACCATTTGTCCATTCTTGGTTAAAATTTTGCTAAAAGGTAGATCTTATGTGTGCTCTTAACACATGCAAAAAATGGTGGGAGAAAATTTTGGGGGGAGAAAACCTACGGATAGATTTATGGCATTGATAGTGGTAATCATTTCAAGTGTATACTTATCTCCAAAGTTGTATACATCAAGTTGTATACATTATTTTTTATTTTTATTTTTTAGTAGGCTCTACAACCAACGTGAGGCTTGAACTCATGACCCCAATATCAAGAGTTGCATGCTCAACTGACTGAGCCACCCAGGGGCCCCTCAGTGAAGTGACTTTTAAACAAACATAAATAAATAAAACCACCAGATATCTGCCAGCTACCCCCCCAACAAGATTTTCTTAAATAGTCATTTCTAAACAAAACTATGAGTTATGCTATACTCTGTTTATTATGTATAGAACTGAAATTGATTTAAATACAGTTAATGTTTATGACAAAAATTTACTAAACAAATAATCTTAAGGATTTTAAGATTAATTAAAATATTATTACTTAAACCAAGTCTATCACAAACTATTATTGCAAATTGAAATTTTATATTTCAAGCATTATGTTACCCAAGTCCAAATAATTCTAAAAAGATACCAGCCTAATAAGCAAGATTTAAATTATGGGAAACTCTTAAACATTTGTTCACAACAAGTAATCTTGCTAGATTTTCAATCTCTAAAAAATATATACATTCTGTATGTTTAATTCTACAAGGTTTCTGAGACCTGTATTGTCCCTACAGAAAAGGTGTTATAAAGGTGTCAAAATGTATATTATGAATCCTTAGATAGCCAAAGCAAGTAAATCAAATCAGGAAAGCAATTGTGCTTAAGTTTAGTGAAACCTACCATACAGGGCAGGGCAGACTATATCATCATCCTTTCCCTCTGAGGATTTTGCTTCACTGTGAACTGAATTCTTCATAAGATGAATCAAGTACCAAAATAATATATTGCAAGTCTTGCCCTAACAACTAAATTTGATGAAATGCCCTTTCCTAGGGCATTCAACTCACTTAAATGTAAGTGATAAATGATTCTTCATTATATTACAATCTGCTTTTTTAAGGGAAAATAAGTAAGAATATTGATATACTTTATATTAACTGATATACTTTATATTATTAATATCAGTTAATATAAATTCGATATCTATATCAAATTATAGAAATGAATATATAACTTGGGACATCAGTATAAGAATACACTTGGCAATATGAAGTCACTTTTCTGCTTTTCTCTTTCTTTCTGGTACTTTCCTGCTTTTCTTCATTAGCAAATAAATGACAGAGAGAAAGCAGCTTTGACATGACTCTTAGGAGACATAGCTAGGCACTTGGACTTAAAAGAATGGCCATGGAGAGCTTCACTGAGCTGCTTCCCAAAGTTGTGCACCCCCCGAAGCCCTAAAGTCTCATGTTAATATGATCAGTTTACAGCAAGTTCTATATATAAGAGGCATGCCTTTGCTCACAAATTAACATTTTAATAATTCAATATGCATTTCATATTGCAATTGTATGAGATTCTATTTTAAATCACTTTCTTTTACACCCTACACTGTGTTTTATTTTGCCATGTTTTATGCATTTTCCAAACTAACATATTCCTCTTTAACACAAATTTTATTCTTGGTAATGATTAATTTTTAAGCTTTGTGTTTCAATTGATTCCGTTGTGAGGCATCTCATAATTTTCGCCTGTTAGGTTCACAGAATGAGGGGTTCCATGGTAGGGTTAGATTCAGAAAGCAAAAGATTGAGTTAAGTAAAGTTTAAATTGATTAATAGGATTAATAATCCTAAAGCAAGGCATGTTAACTTTTTGTGTATATTGGCCATAGTACTTGGCATGATGCCTATGCACCTGCAGTTTAACTATTAATGTGAATTCACAGAAGAGTAACTGAGGTAGATATTGCTACTTCATATCTTTGGCAAATGTTTAGTGACTATTCTTCCCTCCCTTCCTTACTGCCTCATTACGTCCATCCCTCGCTTCCCCCCTCCTCGTGTCACCTTCTTTGACAGCCTCTACATTTCCTTTCCTGAGTCTCCCAAACTCACATCATAGAATTATTGGCATTTTGGGTCAGACAATTCTTTGTTGCAGGGGAATCTGCCCTGGGCATTACAGGATTTTTGGCAACATCCTTGGTCTCTATCCCTAGATACCAGGAGCACCCATTCCCAGTTAGGACAACCAAATGTGTCCAGATATTGTCAAATATTCTAGGGCAGGGATCAGGGCAAATTCACCTTAGGTTGGGAATCACTTATTTAGGGCTTAGTATTGCTTGCTTCACCAATTAACAGAATAAAGTCATCTTAATGGCAAAGAATCAGGGGATGGCAGAACTTGGAGCAATGATAATTCTGGTATTCAGTTATTTCCCTTCTTGGAGCGGGTAGCTGAAGCCTGTTTTTAAAGTTGGAACAATAAAACAGTGGTACAGACCTGACCCTTGCTTTGCGTCAAGACAGTCCATACCTTCTTTCATTCTTAGAGTGTGCATTCATAGAGTAAGGCAATCCAGTGCTCAACCTGCTGATTATTCTCAGGAAACAGAAAGAGAATCTTTGAAAAATAGGTAATGGGGAGAAAGAAACATAATATTTACCTCTTCTCCTTCCTGCTCACTCTTAGGGCATCCTTCCGTACCACAAAGCTACTTAACACAATCCAGAGACCAGCAAAGCATCCTGATGCCCATTTGCTTATGAGAATATTTCTGTACTCTCATCAAGATCCATCAACTCTCATTTGACTCGGGAAGTCTTTTGCGGCAACGTTTCTACCTAAGAACCTTTGTTAAATATGTATTAGAGAGCACTAGGATGTTTAATCTACCAATTTATTCTCTTGAGTCACTTTCTGGGATATGTCTACACATTTTGGAGAGAATATATTATCCTTTGTTTTCAAGCAAACCCTTCACATTAGGTCCCCTATGAAAGAGAGACAGATAATTGTCTAAATGCATGCTACCAAGTGTGAGAAATATCTTTTCATATATTTTAAAGGTTCCTGTATAAATCAATGGGAGATGTGCGTATGGCTCAGAGGAATTAATTCATTTCATGCAGCCAAGTCTGGATATAAATAGGATTTGTTTTTAGGTAGTAAAATCAAACTTCATTATTTAATATAAGGATTGATAATGAAGACTTTCTACAGTTAAGTGTACAGTTTGTGCATTGTGTGTATGAATATATATATATAATTTTGTATATTATATAAAATTCCCATTAGGACAATGAACAAATAACAACACTAAAAGTCATGTAAATTCAGTATGCCTAGCAAATATTATAATTTATTGAGGATTTCTCTGAGAATGAAAAGAAAAAATTTCCCCTGCCACTGTTTTTAAATACAGGGAAAAAAAGATAATTTAATTAGACATGCTACAGCCACGAGACACATAGAAAGCAGGAAAGCATTACTTGAAGAACAGCATATTAATTAAAATAACCAAGGAATATATTATGATCATAAAATTAATCACATGTTATTTTTCTTTTTCTGTTATAGCACTTCTTATATCAGGACTTTGCCCTTAGCAAATCAAAATGTAATAAGCAGGTTGCCTTTACAGTTGGAAAAATGTATAAGTGGGTTTCATTAAAGAATGGTGTAGCATCAATGATCCTATCATTACTTCCAAGCACAGGTAAATGGATTAATGTAGGATGAATACAAAAAAAAAAAAAAAAGGAAGAAAATGTTTCTCAATTTTCCCTGGCACCACCGATGTGAATAACTCTCCTATTCTCCATTGCTTACATTTGCCTATTGCCCACCAAAGAATTTCACATCAGTGATGTAAATTATTATTTCACATCAGTTTCTTCACTACAAGATACAAATTTCAGGCTCTATGCATAGAGAGTGCTGACATTTATTTGCTGAGATTTATATTCATTTAAAAAAGTGTAACTGTCAACATTCAAAAATCATTTTGACTGCATATCTGGCTTGAGATTTTGTATCTTTCTTTTTAATATAAGAAAGCCTGTGGCATTATAAGAAGCGAGTGTTTTGTCAGGATGAATATATAATTCTATCTCTCTGTGCTTCTGAAGCCTTAGTTGTTTTTTCAAGGGTGTGTGTGTGTGTGTGTGTGTGTGTGTGTGTGTGTGTGATACCTGTGGAAGAGAAATGAAATAGGTGAAAATTAAATTAGAGGTTATTACAATTATCTGTTTAGAGTAAAAAATAAATTCATTTTTTCATTTGAAATGCAATTGTGGCAATCATTTAGAATTGGTGTTTAAGATTATCTTTATTTAAAAGAACACTATTTAATAAACCTAAAAATAGCACCACTTTAGGTATGACCTGAAGACCAGTGTGTATATATATATAAATATATATATATATATTTATATATATAA